CCCGACCACCGCAGCTGATGGTGTTCCGCAACGTGGGTCGGCCGCCGGAGGAGGAGGACGCGGAGGCGGCTTCGGAGCCGGGACCTTCGGAACTGCTGTGTCCCCGGCACCGCTGTGCCCTGGACCCCAAGGCCCTGCCTCCGGGATTGGCACTAGAACGGACCTGCTTTGGGCCTCGGGCAGCCGTCGGGGCCGGGGGTCAAGACGGTTGGTGGGGGTTGCTGCCCATGTCCCTGCCCCCCGCAGCCGCCCCCTCCGCAGCCCCAGCCGCCTGCTGCCGCCCCGCAGGCCGGGGAGGACCCCACGGAAACGAGCGACGCGCTGCTGGTCCTGGAGGGTTTGGAGTCGGAGGCCGAGAGCCTGGAGACTAACAGCTGCTCGGAAGAGGAGCTCAGCAGCCCGGGCCGCGGAGGAGGAGGGGGCGGCCGGCTTCTGCTGCAGCCCCCAGGCCCTGAATTGCCCCCGGTGCCCTTCCCGCTGCAGGACTTGGTCCCTCCGGGGCGCCTGAGAAGAGGGGAGCAGCAGCAGCAGCATCCTCCGCCGCCGCCGCCGCCTCCTGGGCCCCTCCGGCCACTTGCGGGCCCTTCTCGGAAGGGCTCCTTCAAAATCCGCCTCAGTCGCCTCTTTCGCACGAAGAGCTGCAATGGTGGCTCCGGTGGTGGGGATGGGACCAGCAAGAGGCCTTCTGGAGAGCTGGCTGCTTCTGCGGCGAGCCTGACAGACATGGGAGGCTCTGCGGGCCGGGAGCTGGACGCGGGGAGGTGAGAGCAGCTGGGTGGCTGACTGACGAACTTCCCTTTCTCGCTTCCCTCTTCTTTTGCTAACGCGATCCAACGGTTCTTAAGAACTTGGGGCCAAAGGTGGTGACATCTGGCATTAGGTAGGAGTCAATTGTGGAGACTTAATGCTCCCTGACATTTAGCTGGTGGAATCTCTCTTGTCCGGCCATGTTTTGAAGCCACCCCCACCCGCACCCCCACCCTGGGTCAGCTTTTTAAGTTTTTCCAAGGTGCCCATTTACCTTTACCCTTGCTGGGAGGTTGCTGGATGTGTTTGGCATTTGGGGCAAGAAGCAGGTGTTGCATCCCCCTTGATCTCTCTGTGTACCAGCTCCCCACCCCCTTCATACTCACACATGCAGATGAGATGAGGAAGTTGTGAAGTCATGGGCCAGTGATCATTCAGGCATCATCTCATGCAAAGTTATAATGTTTTCTTGGCGATTCCCTTACATGTACTTGGTATCTCAAGCCTATGTGCTGACCACTGTCTGCAAGAATAGAGAACAGCTCTGCTTTCTCTCAAGCCTGGGTGAGAAGTCTCCCTAAAGCATAGACACTGGTACATGAATTCTAGGCCAAGTGGTGAAAATTCCAAACTTACGGAGTGGGTTTTTTCCTGCGTGTCTAAAGGATAGACCGATTTACAGTGTTAGCTCTATAGTGTCAGTTTAGAAAGCTGTCAACTTCTGTTTCAGTTAAGTGAGACTTCCCTTATGGCAATGACCATTGTGGTTTGCACTTCTGCATGGGTTCTTGGATTGGAATTAGTTTTGGTGCAGCTTATGTGATGGATGCACATAACTTGGGACATCTTGGGAGCCACAAACCAAGGCTACCCAGCAGAAGACCGTCTAAGTTGACAGCCTAATCACTTGGGGGAGCTTTTTGTAAAGATCAGTATGCCTGGGACCCAAGAGTTAGAATTTTATAAAGCTCCCAGTTGATCCTGGAGTGGGAGTCATTCATCCGTGGACTTCTCCTTTCAAGGGGATGTGGGTGCTCCTGGAGGACAGTGTAGGGTTGATTTGGCTTTGTTGCCCTATTGGATCAGTGCAGTGGGCTCCTCTTGGGGATGAAGCCAAACCCAAACTAAAGAAATCAGCGTGTTGCCCCTTCAGGTAGGCTGATGTTTCTGCGTTTGCTTTTCAGTGAACTCATGCTGAGAGCTCATGTCTTTAAAAGTGTGTGGTTGCTGAAGCAGCTTTTTTTCTGGTGTGCTATGCATTCGATGCTCCACTTAACCAGTACAGATGAAATTTTCCTGGGAAGGGGGAGAGGGCAGGATTGAAGCTATGGGTAATGACATAGGATAGATTGCTAATTTTCTTGTGGTTTGTCTTGCCTTTGTTCCATATTGACCAGGACTTGGTCTAAGATTCCAGAGACTCCAAATACGAGGTGTGGCGTGAAATTAGCTGCTATGTCTAATAGATTAGGAAGAGGAAAAGGCATATAACATTATACGGTTTTTGCCTTTGGAAGCAGAATTTAATGGTCATTGGCTGCTCTGTCACCAACCCTCACACTAAGCACAATACAGATTTCTGCTGCAGAGCAAATTGGGCTGTAGCTTTGCAAAGAAGCTTAGTTCAGGGCACTGGAGAATTACATTTTTTGGTCCAAGGGCTTTTTTGATGAATTGGAATATTTGTGTATAAACGTTTGGTTGACTGCTGTTTGGAAGCAGCATGTTGTGCAGAGAATGGGAAAGTCTAGATTCCATTTAGAACTCCAACATCAGCTCTGAGATGGAGGCCAAATCTGGCTTCATCATGGCCCACCCCTCGCCATTTTTCTTCCATCTGTAAAACAGGAGAGTGATGACCATCTTGTTCCTGTTCTTATAGGAATGGAGTGAAGACAGGAGAAGTCTAGCTGGAATATTTTGTGCTTTTTGGAAGAGAAATAATGAGACTGAACTGGTACTTTTTTTATGCTTAGGATTTGGTGCTGCTTGTTAGCTTTTCCACAGCGTACTACTTGCCAGTCTTTCTGGCAGCCTTACAGCTCTGAGAAACTTGCTAAGTCTAGCCAAGGTAGTTGTGATTTCTGTGGATCTGCACCTTCAAAGTCAGTCCACCCTGTTGCGAGGAAGGATGAGTTTGGATTTTTAGCTTGTTCTTGCTTTGATTGGTAGAACCTGGAAGCGGTGAGAAATTTCTGTCTTTTGCCAGAGGGTATGTGTTTTTCTCTTTATTGTTGGTTGGAGTTAATTATGGTCCTGTGCAGTCTTTGCTGTATAATTTGGGGCTTTCACAGTTATCTCTGGGCATAACCCTCTTTGCTCTGCTCAATATCTATCTACCTTTCCCACAGCTATCATCTAGAAAGTGCTTCCTGCAATCATTGTATAAGGCTTAACAGGTCCCCCATTTTAACTCTAAGCAAAATTTTTCCTCCTCTCAGACTGGCCTTGATATATACTGGGTCTTAAGTGTGGTGTGAGTTAACTTAGAGAACTTTGTTTATAGCCAGAGGGTGCTTGTGCCTACTAGAGAGAAGCAGAGGCAGGGAGAGGTAAAAAGCAGTCCCCAGTGGGGCATAGTCTCCCTGAATCCCTTCTTCTCCATTTCTTTACCATGTTGGGATCTAGGATAGGAATGCACATGCACATGCATCATGCATCTGGTATGTTTTTCAAGCCCCCCAGGGCTGGGATTCGAAGCGCTTAGTTGGGAATGTGGGATCTGGCATCCTTAACCACTAGGCCATGGATTCGTCTCAAGAACTCTTTTTAAGTAAAGTAAGAACTGGGTCCACCACCTAACTGGGTTTCTGTTCTGGGGAACAGAGTGGGATATTATAACACTCATATGTTGGAATTCAAAGGGATGGGTGGAATATGAGTGGGCTTTAGTGTGAGAGAGACTTGCTATTTGAGGAAAACTATTGGAGTTACGTAGTCTGTTTCACATATGTTGAGCTGATCATCTTCCTTTCGATTTGGTGAGATAAGACTTTTGATCTGACCTTTTGACTCATCACATTGGTTGGAAATGGATACGTTGTTCACCTCTCAAGATTTGTTTCTTACCTAGCTAAAAGTTGAGGTTGTTGCTGTCTTCATGATTGTGAGGTGGAGAAATGGAGAACATTTCTCACAGCTAATCACAGATAGTGGTTTCCTATCTATTTGTTTAGGGGAAAAAATGCAATTCTGGAAAGAGAGCCAGGCTGCCTTGGCATCAGTTTGGGGTCCTACTTTTGTATACAGACATGGCAGACATGAGAAGCCTTCTTCACTGTTTCCTTATGTCTTTAGGTCTAAAGGGATCTTTTTGAGTCATGGGATGACATGTTTTGAGAGAAAATGATTTTATGGCGTAGTAAGGAAGTTCTGACTATGTTTGGTTTTTGGGTCCATGGTTTGTTGATCTTTTTAAACTCTTTTTTTTTTTTTTCCATGAAGTGGTTGTGGTTGGCAGCTCTTCTTTTAGAATGAACTCCTAGGCTATAGATCTCTCTCTGCCTATTCAAGTCTTGTACCTTTTCATTCCTTACCATTAACCTGCCATTCTTTATTTTTATAGAGTTTTTTTTTGCTATAGAGCGCGTATCCTCGCCAGAAAGACAGAGAGAGACAGAGAGACAGAAAGCGAGAAATCACTCCCCGGGGGGATAGCTACCCCGCAATCCCTTCTCCTCTATTCTCCTCTCGGGATCTTGGGCACACATGCACACATGCATACACGCCTGGCATGAGTTTAAGCCACCGGGTCTGGGGCTGGAATCACGATCAACCACATGGAGGTCCAGTGACATAGCCATTATGCCAACTGCTGTCCCTCTTTTTTTTTTTTAAAGAATTATTTTTATTTAACTTTAATTAATTAATTAATCACTTATAACTTGACCAGAGGGGACAGAGCGAGAGAGAGAAAGAGAGGGAAAGTGAGAAAGCAAGCCACCATGTCTGGGACCTGAACCGTGGTCAGCCATGTGGGAGTCCAATGCCCTTAACCACCATGCCACCTGCTGGCCCCCCAGCTTCATTCTTGAGGTTTTGGACCTTGGACTAAGCCTCTTGTCTTTTCCTTGGATGGTCCCTCCATACGTTCTTTAGTTGGTTTCTGATCGAGTTTTGGATCTGACCTTGCTGCGCAGATGTCTGTGTATTGGAACTAAAAATGAACACATGGTTTTTGTGCCTGTAGCACATGAACAGACATGGGCTTATGATGTGTTGGAAATGGCACAGGCTGGCTGCCTTGGCACCATGTGTTTTAGTAGGGACAGAGGGACATTGGGGCCATAAAACCTGGTATTTGGTCATCTCAGTTTGGAAGTTACTTTAGAAAAGGACACGTATGTAGAGGTGACTTATGAACAAGGGAGGGAGAACATTACTCTTTCATTGTTTATAGGTTTCAGGGAATTTGAAAACTGGCCAGTGGTTCTATCTAGGGGTTGTCATCCTGTCTAGCCTAATGGTTTTAACTGTTTTTGTCTTAGAAATCCATTGTGGTACAGTTAATACTGCAAGGTAGAAATGGACAGGGCATTCTGTCTCTTCGTTACCTACAGCAGGGGCAGTGACATAGCTGACACAAAGGACTGCTGGCCTCAAAGACCTTTTACCTTCTGCCTCTGTCCTGTTCTGTCACCTGAGGCTTAGCCCGCAAAAACATCCCCAACCCCACCCTTTAAGTCTTTCTGCTAAGAATAAAATGTAAGTGGCCCACTAGGAAAGTTACAGTGGCTTAATTTTGTACCCGAGTGCTTATCGAGGTGATGTGTCTGGAGAGGAATAAATAACCTGGGAATGTAGTATAGAGGGTTAGCGTAAAATGTCTGGAACCGTGTCATTCATGTTGCTCTACAAAAAACAGCACCTTGGCTTAGAACGGCTTTCATCATTCCAAATGTTTCATATATACAAAAGGGGATATAAAGTGATGAATCTGAATGATAATAAACTTCTAGGCACCTGTCTCTAACCTTAGCAAATGGTGCCTTTGAAGACCTGAGTGTTGCTTCCTGATTACAGCTACTCCTCCCTCAAGTAACCATCATCCTCAATTTTATGTTAATCATTCCCTTGCTTTGTTTTTTTATAGTCATCTAGATTGGTCTTTTCATGAATGACTGCCATTAGAATGCTCTCAGGATCCTTGAGACAGAAACTGCTTTGGATTTTCAGTTAGGCCGCATGTCCCCAAAGAGAGAAGGAAACACACACATTTATTATCAGCCTCTCAGCCTCCTCGACCTTTTACCTCTCTGAGCTTCCAGCCAGGTGGCCCCCTTATTTGCCAGGAAAAGCCATCTTGGCGTTCTCAAATGACTCTGCCTGCGTTTAGATTCAGATGTTTTTCTTTTTCTAGATCCTAGAAACTCTGATTTTCTTCTTCAAAATGCCGGGGGCGGGGGAGAAGATGAGCTGAAGTGAGAAGGCCTCCGCAAGATGAAGTGTGCATTTGGGCACTGCCGTTCTTCAGCGCTTGGCACTGAAGAGATTCGTCCCCAGCATGGGCAGATGGCAGAGTAATGCCGCTTCCTTTGAAAAGAGGCAAGCAGCCAAATGGCTGAGGTGTAAACCCTTCGAGAGGCCAGTGCTTTAGGTTTCTTCTTGCTGAGTTTAATGTTGTCCCCACAAGTTATCAAATAAAAATCAGCTTGGAACCTCTTTCAACAGTCTTAAAGTTCATGTCCAGTGGGATTAACTTTCCATTCCAACCCTCCGGATTGTTGGAACTGAGCTGCAGACAGTTATAAGCAACTTCCATAAACAGAGGGACTTTGTGTGGTTGTGTCTTGTTTGTATGGAGCCACCTCTTCTGGGCGTGCTCAGGGTGGTATTCACAGAGTGCACCATCGGTAGGCCCCTCGGTTCTCTGCATGGAAGAGGTTGCAGAGGAGGTGTGAAGACAGGTCAGGAGAAGGAACCAACTAGTGTTTTGCCTCTTTCTGAGTAAGGTCTTCATGGCATGGCTTTGGAATCTTGTTTGAAATGAATTCTGAGAAGCTCAGACATCAAAAACAGAAATGCAGGCTCAGCCTAGGTGGCATAGTCTGTATTGTACTGGACGACAGTGCTGGAAGCCACACGACTGACTGCAGGTTCAGATCCCCAGCCTGGTTGACCTGAAATGCACCAGGATTGTGGGTGTTTATGCACAGATGTCCAAGATTCTGGAGAGATTTTCTTTTGGAGGAAGGAGAATCGTGGTGTGACCAGACCCTATCAAGGGTGTATAGGTTCATAAATAAAAAATAAACTTAAAAACACAAATACACATCTTCTGAAATAAAATTATTTTAAGTAGGATTTTATTTTGGATTTTGTGTTTTTATGCCCCCCCCACCCCGCCACCAGTATTGGTGCAGTCTGAAGAATTTAAGTTTTATTAAAAAATAAATAATAATAGAGTTTAAATTTCATTTATTTTTTTGTATGAGAATATGTTTGAAAGGTAAACTAGCTATAGTGTTAAGAGTTAGGTGTTCAGTTTTGGGTGGGATTTTTAAAATTATCTTAAAAATCTGGTTTGTTAAGGTATAATTTGTATGCCACAAAGCTCTCCTTTTAGAGATTCAGTTCTATACAAATTTATATAGTCATAGTAACCTCTACCTATTGCATATTTCTATCACCTTAGCAAATTCTTTCCCTTCAAATCAGTCACCCTGAGATGAGTTTTTCTAAGTTTAGCACATTTCTGACTGGAAAGTGTTTATCAGTCTTTGAATTTCTTTCATTTCTTGCTGAAAAGCCAGTTGAAATTGGTACAAAGTGAAGTTAAATCTTTGGTGTATAACCGAAAGGAGGTCTGGGTTTTCAGCCTGGTTCCCTTGAGCAGCCTCAAGGAGCATCCTGTGGGGAGAGCTGTGTGACTAGCAGTTCAGGAAGGGGAAGGGCCATCTTCTTGGATGCCAGGTAGAGCCCCTTGACCTGAGGAGCCACTTGTTAGCTGAAGGCTTTGACCCACACCTTGCACCAGTTGGGCAGAAACTGCGTCTTTGTGGTTGAAGATTCCATGTGTACTCGGTGGTGCTGTTTTCAGGTGGGAGTATGTCCCTGGTTCACTGTGACCCCTTCCTGGAGGCATCCAAGGGAAAGCTGTGGTTCTGAGCTGACACCTGTTTAGGTCAAGAGTCTTTTTTCTTGGCGCCCAGTGAAAATCAACTCTGTTTCTGTCTTCTTTCCTCTTGAAGTGGACTTGCTAATCATCACCAAAGGTGGTATAGTCTGTTAATGTCGTGGCTATGGAGAGATCCAAAGGGATTTCTTATTGCTTTGAAGGCCGGTGAATTCTATAGCTGAATCTAGTTGAGGGATTGCCTTAATTCTCCCCCTTTATATTGTAAGCTTTATTACATGAGTGTTGCTGACAGTGACTAGGGTTTGCTTTGTTTTTCAATGCATCTGGAATTGAGTGTTGCAGTGATCTAAATACACGTGTGTTCATACCTCCCCTTTATTCTCCCTGTGTTTTTTCACCCCCTAGGAAACCCAGGTTGACAAGAACTCAAAGTGCCTTTTCTCCGGTCTCCTTCAGCCCCCTGTTCACAGGTAAGGGTGATACCTTTCTTTCTTCTGACATCTAAAAGC